ATAAAAATAGTTTTGTTGCATGCTGAGCTCAAATCATTATGAGACTCAGACTAAAAGACAGACAGGCATGCATAAGCGCACCAACGTGCCTACCGCCCCTGTCCTATTGTTTCTCTTATTCTTCTTTTATTTTTCTTATATGTACCCATTTCATGTATTCACAACTATGTATACACTTATACTTATTATCTTGTAAACAATTGGCAAATCAAATAAATAAATAAATAAATAAAATGGCTTTGTAGATTATAGAAACCATGTGGTGACAGATTTCAGTATTATATTGGTTTTGTATTGGACCTCAATTCATTATAAATTAAGGATGGGAAGTTCTTTGGATCTGCTGGGTTAATGTGCCCATAGCACCCACCAGCAATTCCTGAAATCCAACACATCTTTTATTGGTATCAGAGGACAGCCACGGAGGGAAGCTGAACTGTCCCAGAATAATAAAACTTTGTAAGGAGTTTTTGGAAGGTGCTTCATAAACACTTATGCTTGCTCCGAACCACTGCAAACAAAGTCACAGGGCTTTGGATGGCTCTCTTTAAAAACCCAGAGAAATACCCCATTCCTAATTCCTGCAAATTTCCCCAGTTATAGCCATAGCCTTTTAATACTTGCAAAAACTTTGCAAGGAGGCCACCTAGCATTTGTGATAAATAGTGAATATGAGATGTTTGATCCCTCTCTGAGTGTGGCCTTTCCCTTCAATCCTTTTTGTCCCTTTAAGCTCAGTGTATGCTAGTAATAGTCTTTCTTGGATTCACCACAATGGTGGTGGCGGTGGTGGTGGTGAGCCGTGGTGGCGCAGTGGTTAGAGTGCAGTACTGCAGGATACTTCTGCTGACTGACTGCAGTTTGGCAGATTGAATCTCACCAGGCTCAAGGCTGACTCAATCTTCCATCCTTCCAAGGTCAGTAAAATGAGGACCCAGATTGTTGAGGGCAATATGCTGATTCTGTAAGCGGTCTTAGAGAGGCCAGTAAAGCACTGTGAAGCGGTATAAAAGTCCAAGTGCTATTGCTAAGTTCTATTGCTATTTCTCTTTATGCAGGGAACTGAAACCATGTCGTGGAAGAGAATCAAGGACTAGATGAGAACGGAAGGTTCTTTCTGCCTGGGCTTTAACCCCTCTCGCCAGACCGTCTCACGATGTCAAAGAAGGGTGCCAGCTTTCGAGCTAAAGGAGAAAAACCGGACGCTTTAGCTGCCTTGCAAGCTGCTAATGAAGAGCTCAGGGCAAAGCTCACAGATATTCAAATCGAACTTCAGCAAGAAAAGAGTAAGGTGTGCATCTTTCCCACTTAATTTTTCTCAGAAAAATTAAAGTTGTCCAGCTACTTACTTCTTGCTCTCATAAGTAAACTGCATGTGAAAAATAATATAAGATCAGATGACCTTTACTGACATTTTTTTTTTCTGTGAACACACCGGCACACATTAAAAAATAAAATTCTGATGACCGCTCCCAAAAGAGACCTGATATATATGCACATACATACATACATACATACATACATACATACATACATATATACATCACAGTCCACTTTGAATACAAATCAGAAAATAAGTCTTGAGAGTTAACAAATTTGATACTATATGGCAGGTGTGTCAAACTCACAGCCCACAGGCCGGATGTGTCATGTGCTTGCCCCATTCCCGCCCGATCTAGCAAAGGGGGAAAAAGTCATGTCATGTGATGCCACCATGACGATGCGAGTTTGACATCCCTGTTATATGGTACAAAGCTATTACAGAATCTGGATATTCTGCTTTGGATACCCACAAAGACTTGTCCCAGAAGGTGACAAAGAAAAACCAGTCATGGAGAGGTTGTGAGGCATCCCTGGGAATACTGCAGACTCTTGTCAAGCAGTGCTTAGATGCCATGTCCTGGATAAAAGGAAATGAACTTCCGATAATCTTTTTGCTGTCCTCACCACTCTCTGCACAGCCTTCCTGCCTGAAAGAGTAATACCTCCAAACCACACAGTTATACAACATAACAGGATGCTTTCAATCATCCCTCAATAGAAAGAGGTAAGGACAGGAGAAGAAAAGATATGTTCTTTTCATATGATATAGAAAATAAGGCGTTGATGTACCCACTTCACCAAAGTTGAGTGACCAAGCTAAGCTGCTAATCAGCTGCACATCCAGAAATTTGATACCACTAACTACCTCCACAACTGGATTATTAATACACAGAGGTGTCCCGATATGTCTGCCTTTTCTGAAATCAAGAATGATCTCTTTTGTTTTTTCTACATTTAAGACCAGGCTGTTTTTATTATACCAGTTCATCAAACCCTCTATCTTCTCCTGGTAATCACCCTCGTTATCATTCTGAATAAGGTCCACCAAATAGATGTTGTTTTGTAATATTCCCTCAACACTATCAAACTACTAAGTCTACATTACTATTACTATTAATCCTCCATCCTTCCTTTCACCCATCTCCTCCCACTTATGACTGTATGACTGTAACCTTGTTGCTTGTATCCTAACGATTTTTATTGACTATTTCCTAGTATGATTTGATTACTTATTGTACCCTATGACTATTATTAAATGATGTACCTTATGATTCTTGACTCTTGATGAATGTATCTTTTCTTTTATGTACACTAAGAGCAGAATCACCAAGACAATTCCTTGTGTGTCCAATCACACTTGGCCAATAAAGAATTCTATTCTATTCTATTCTATTCTATTCTATTCTGTTCTGTTCTGTTATGTTATGTTATGTTATGTTATGTTATGTTATGTTATGTTATGTTATATCCTATAATAGGATATAACACAAGACTCCAATTGCAGAAAGATCTGGTGAACTTTAAACAAAGTCTTATTCTTCAATATTACTCTGGAGGAAAGAAGTCTGAAGATAGGTTTGGAGCCATTCTTTACAGAATGTGCATTTTGATCAATTATTCAGAGCATTCTCTAATTGGTCCCCTTTGGAGGCAAAACCAGCTGCATTGTCAGCATGTACTGTACATCAAGGAGTAGAACTGTCAGGATGATCTTGGAAAGGGGGAGGGGGGCAAGGTGAGGTAAATCCATTCACTGAACACATCTGATTTGCTAATTTGGCAATTTCTATAGATGTGTTTTGGCAAATATTTGTTTTCTTTGCAAACTGAGTGTTTTCATAACATTTCTATATTGCTCTGTCCCCGTTCCAGGTGGGTTAGCTCACAACTTCTTCTAGATTTGGAAGTAGTGACCGCACAGTATAGCAATAGTAATAGCAATAAACTACTTTATAGTGCTTTACAGTCTTCTCCAAGCTTTATTCCAGGACAGAATGAGAAAATAACATAATAACATGAAGCAGCAGTCAAAGAATATTCAAGAATGCTGAAATATAACATAACCCAAGACGGCATTCGAAGAATATTCAAGAATAATGAAGAATACACTTTGTCAAAGGAAAAAAAGACATCCTTGTTGCCAGTAAGAGAATCTGAAGAGGCAGATGGGGCCCTTCAAAGTTAGCAAACATGTATTACCCTCTCAGTTAGAACTGCATTGAAGATCCATCTCATGATAATTCGGACTAGTTTACATAGGATCTGAACAACCATTACTCATACTCCTTTTTGATGGCCTCATGTGACTAGAGTTTGTCAAGGACCACATCATGTCATCTTGTGTTTGGAATATTTTGTCTGCTAAAATGAGCCCATCAAGATTAAGGAGCATTTGTTTATATCATGCGGCAGTGAAATCATGTCATGGTTTGGTATTTCTTTATGTCAAGTGATAATGAGACTGCCTCAAACTTACAGAATATTTGTTTATGTATGGTGGTAATGAGAATTTCAGAGTTAAGAAACATCTGTTTCCCAAGGTTTCTAGATTGGCAATACAAGATGCATAAAACCAGAACTGCACTACAGAACTGCACTACAGATAAGGACCCCACAACAGTAATATTAATGTGGAAACCTATTCTCTTCTATTGATTAGAATAAGATTAAAATCAGTGCCATCCATGGAAAATGGACTCCATGGATTTGATCTTGAACTCGATCAAAAGTCCATAGTACCATTTTATTCCTTGCTCTTTTTTTCCATTTTGCTCAAGTAACAGTCCATCTTTTTTTTTTACCATATTTTCTGTTTGCATGATTTGCCAAATCAAATAATTTTTGTAGAGGTTCACAGTTCGCTAAAATTGGAAGTTATTTCAATTCATTGGAGAAGGGTTTCACTTATCCTCTATACATTGCCTCATTTACAAGGGTATATAAAGCATACCAATGCCATGCTAGAATACCCGTTCTTGGCAGGATATGCTTATTTTTTTTAACATCCTTCATAGCAGACTTCCCTTATATAAAACTAAGATACCATCCTTACCTCTGGTTGGATTCCAGTACCTATGCATCCATAGCAGTTCAGTTATATCTTCCTGCTCTTTAACTGGAAGAAAGTTAAAATGTTGGACATGGAAAGTGAATGTTTCTTTTATTGCCCACGCCACCTACTGTTCTTCAGAATTTAATTTTATGCCTCGTTTCATACAATTTGTTCATAATTCCTCACTACTCTTTGACCATCTTGTCCATTCAGCTCCCCAACTGCTAGACAGGATGAATTCTGATTCTTATAAATGTCTGTACATGTATGTGTGAGTTCATGCGTACATATAGTACTACATTGATTGGGTTAACAAGTGCCATCTAAATATGTAAGATGACATTTCCCAGAATTTTTTGAAATTATAGTTCAATCCATCTAGAGAATGTGCAATCAAGAAATGCCACTATTAGTTACCATCTTTAAATTTACCTTAAGAAAGAATCCTATTTTTTTTTTTAGGGAAGAACACACTTGTGCTACCACCAAAACAACCCAATTCAGATTTAAGAATTACATACTAGATACTACTTACTACTTTTTGAGGACAGAACCCTATAAAGTTAAAAGCATCTAGGTGTTTTGCAATTCCCATATATTATCACACTATTTCCCACTATTCCTGTGGAAGTTCATCTTAAAATTTAAAGCATTATCCTGTCCAGTTGTAACAGCTATATAGATTAAATAAAAATATTTCAGATTACAGTATTGATTGTATTGGACATTGCTATAACTTGTGATAGAATCAGCTTGCACAGCAAACCAACTCATCACTAATAATAGTCACGCTGCTAACGCTCTGACAGAATTCACATACAATTTATTTTCTCTGACTGCTTGCCATTGGAGGAATTCCCTACAGGGAAAAAAAATATGAGTCTTTGACATCAGAAACTCTGAAAAAGGACTTAGGCTGGCCCACCTACACAAGTTTCCTTTGATCTTTTGTGAACTGAGGGATTATCGCCCTGCCAATTGAATCATAAGAATTTTCTATAGTACAAGGAATAATGCATATAATTCTGTGATAAGACACTGTTTTAACACACTGAAGGTTCTTTCATTTTCTTTTAGGCCAGCAAATTGGAGAGGGAGAAAAACCAAGAAGCTAGGCAGATTAAGGAACATGAACAGCATAAAAACACAGTCATTGTAACAGAACTCAAGGCTAAACTTCATGAAGAAAAAATGAAAGAGCTCCAGGGTGTTCGCGAAGGACTTTTGAGACAGCATGAGGCTGAGCTTCTTAGAGTTATCAAAATTAAAGATAATGAAATTCAAAGACTCCAAACCTTACTTAACGCTGTACGAGATGGGACGCCTGACAAGGTTAAGACGGTGCTCTACTCTGAAGCAAAAGAAGAGGCCAAGAAAGGATTTGAAGTGGAGAAAATTAAAATGCAACAAGAAATTTTGGAACTGAAGGGGGCTAAGAAACAAGTGGAGGAAGCCTTATCAGTAGTCATTCAAGCTGACAAAATAAAAGCAGCAGAGATAAGGAGCGTTTATCACCTACATCAAGAAGAAATCACCCGAATAAAGAGAGACTGTGATCGGGAAATTCGCAGGCTGGTAGGCAGTTTTTCATCATTTTAGTGATTTTAATAGGGGGAAGTAAATGTTCTTTCCATGTTGTTTACACTAAAAATAATTTAATGTAGATGGCCAAGCATCCTCCTTTTGTACAGCTAATCCAGATAGATCCTTCAAATCTTTTATCCAATATTAATGAAAAGTTCATTAGATGTGGTTATCTTTGCAATGGATGCTCTGTGACCTTTTGTCACAAGCTGTCGCTGGCTGAAAGATTTGATTCTGGTTGTCAATTGTTTTGTTGCCATGTCATCTGTTCCAAATTATAATTAATTCCATCTGGATTATGAGCGTCACATAAAAATGGGTTAGTATTCTGCAGAAATTGGGGTTCATTTCCAACTTTCCAAACTTGAAAACAGGTATGTGATATTAGCGTAAGAATTTCTTTTACACTTCTTGTACTATGTATTGATTATGTAAATGATGACATTTCTTTTTCAGTCTCTTGCACGTGCAGATTTTAAATTTACCTGTGTAAATTATTGGTTGCTTTACTGTTCTTATCACAGAGTAATAGAAGTGGAATGAAGTATCTGAATTGTATAGTAGGGAAAGTGTTTCAACTCTGACTTGGACACATTTGCTCTATTGTCAGAGGCTTCTAAAAGGAGCATTGCTGATAGTAGATCTGGAAATAAAATATTACTTTATAAGGCATTAAAGACTTTATAATCCTGCTGAAATGCTATATCTATTTCTATCTTTGGAATTTTGTATTCTATTACCAAGTGAGTTGATTAAGTTGGCGAAACCACAGAGTGGTCTCTAGATCCAATGTTTGAAGTTAAATACAATCACTTCAAGAATTTCAAAATCATTTCACAAGCTAATGTAAAAGAAATAATTTTCATGGAATTCAGTCAAATTTACTTGATATAGCATTGTTTGATGGTGGCCACTGAATTCAAGCTGGGTGGTTTCATATGTAGTATTTTCTAAAACTATAAAGTACTTACATAGAGCATGTAGTTAGACATGTTTTTATGCAGCTAAATCCTCATCTGTGAGTTCTTCCTGTTATCCTGCACATTTAAATTGCACAATCTTTCCATATAGAAAAATAAGTAATTTATAATGACTCTTACTTTCTTTCAATTTCCAGACTAACATATTTGCATTACATAAATTTGCATAGATCATTCAAAGTACTTTTGAAAGGTTTAAAATGATATCTTTGGATAATATATGTGTTATGTTTTGTGGGTTTTTTTCTTCCCAACAGGTGTTTAATTTTCAGATTTTGGGATTGTAATTGTTATCACAATTACAGTATGTTGAAGTTGTTAAAAATATTTAACCATAAGATTCAAAGTGATGAGATTCTATATTTTAGGAAACAATTTTAATGCACTAGCTAGGATAAAATAGTACAGTTTCTCTAAAGGGAGTTTATAAAGGAATAACATTGACCATTGCCAATCAAATCCAATTTGTGAAATGCAAAAGCAAAAGGGAAAACTGTTACTGGTGTATTGTCTCTATCTTTCATAGTTTTTTTTTTCATTAATGTATTCTTTAGCATGAATTTAGGCAGCCTGCAATGTAGAAAAAGCAATGTATAAGGAAGAAAACCAAGAATAAGCTATGCTCTGTCTCATCACTGTTTTTTCCACCTCTTCTTTTCATAAACATTATTATCAGGTCGAAGTAGGGAGGATGTCCAAGAAATTTCCACAATATATCTCGGTAATATCATATCCTGGGATCTACAGCGTGAAGAGTGAAACTGTGATAATGGAAGTTTTCTACTTCAGAACTTTACATGTTACTAATACGCTAATTCTGTTTCATCCTATATTGCCTGCTTTAGAATGCTTGAAGAAGGCTATTTAAAACTATAGCTGTATCTTTCAAGATAGCAGAAAAATGTATATTGATGAATATTGCTATGTAGTTTTAATGGATTAGAGTGGCTGGGATGTAAAGTCAGTAGGAGCATTTCTTCAGCAACGATTAATGTTGTTCTCATTAAACTACTTATTAATTCTCATTAATAAGTAGTAGAAATTGTTTCTGTGTCATTGGTATAATTTATCCTATTTCTATACTGCCCATCACATTTGCATGACATTAAGCAGTTTACAAATCAAAATAATCCACAATTTGTACCTGAAATGTTTCATTTTGTTGAGTTTGGTAAAATGAAAGTCTCAATTGTGTGAGGTTCACCTCCTGATAAATATAAAAGCACATCAGAGGTGGGATTCTACCAGTTCGGACTGGTCACGCCCACCTAGCCACACCTACCTAGCCACGCCCACAGAACTGGTTGTTTAAAAATTTGAATCCCATCCCTGGAGCACATGTTGTTTTCTTGGAAGTGGTTTGCCATTGTCTTTTTTCAAAAATATGTTTTTTCCAACATTAGCATAAAACTAATGGGAAATGCTGGAAGTCTCTCATTAAAGTATTAAGTCCAAAAGCCTTGCTTGACTTTTCAAGATTAGCCAGAGTTGGTTAAGTATTGTCACCTAATATAGAGAAGAGTTTGCTTTGTGACCAATATGATAATCTCCTAGTTTTGGTATGGGACACTGTGTCCCTAAATCATCTCCAAATATTTCATCTTTTCCCAATCAAACTTTTGTAACTGCAGGTCTGGCATTGATTTCATAAAGTATTGCATTTAAAAATGTCTCCATGTGCAAAGACTGTACAATCACACAAGTAATTATATGTTTCAGGATAAGTATGAGATTAGATAAATTTGGAAATTCTAAAGTGAGACTTTAGCTCTTATTATACAGTGTTATTGAATCTATCCCGTGTAACAGTCTTTTGCCTTGTAGTGGAATAAAATATATATACGTATATATTAGTGGCTTACAATTGTTTAATCCCCAAAGTTCCATATAAAAAGTATCGCTATCAGGAAAAACATCATTTTTAATCTCATAGCTACCCGTGTGTGTTGGTCTCCTGACAAAGATTTTCATAGATGGCAATGCAGAAACTTTATATACAGTAGTTTAATGTTCTGTTGAAATCTCTCTTCTCCAAAGCTTTTTTTCCTTTTTTTAAATTAGTTTTGTTTTCTAGTTCTCAACCTGCTTGAGAATTCCTTTTGAACTTCTCTTTAGGAGTAGCAGAAACAGAAAATGTATTTTGTTTTGAACATGAATCAAGCATTTTGGGGTATGTGGGGATGACCTTGAGAGACAGGAGTAAGAGCTGCAGCCTAACAGTGGTCATGCAAAAGCCCAGAAAAACAGAAAGGGAGTAGGAAGAGTTTCAAAAAACACCCTCCCTGCTTTTCTGGAAAATAAGGGAATCAACAAATTCTTTCAATCTTGCAAGATTAGGTTACTGTAACTTTTCAGTAAAGTTTTATCTTCTTTTCTGGTCTACTTCAAAGAGTTGAAAGTGTCAGTTTGCTAAACCTTTTTGGGAGGACTGTAGTTCAGCAGAACACAGACTAGAATATTTTGGATATCTTGAGTTTTAGAGGAGTTTGAAAGATATATGAAGCCAAACTGAATTCCTCCTCCTCCTCCTCCTCCTCCTCCTCCTCCCTCTCCTCCTCCTGTTTGAAGTTGAGGCAGCTAAGGGGAGGGGAGGAATGGGAAGAGGGGAAGTGAGTTGGTTGGATATGTAGCAGGAATGGTACAGTGTGAAGGGGATTGGACTAGATCTCTTCTAAGGTATTGTCAACTCTATGATTCTATGATATTGGGTAATTAAAAGCACAAAAAAGCTCCCTGAGACCTCTCTGCTGAGAAGTACATGTTTCATATAAATGTTTTGTGTATTAAATATTTTGCACACCTTTGCCTCTTTCTGTTTTTGCAGCTTACTCTTTTGTCATGAAATGTTAGAGATTCTCTTGCTAAATTTGCTCCTTTCTTTATAGAGACTTCCCTAATTCAGAAACTTCTCTGAGAGCCCAAGCTTCCAATCTGAGAAATAGCCCAATGGGAAGACTTCACTCAACACTTTCTGCTATAGCAGTTAATTAAAGCCCAGGAAGGCAGAAAATTTGTTCACCTCTTTTACCCTTGGCACCTTGTAACTAAGCAAGTGCAAAACTTCTGCACACAAGGGAATGTCACCAATATGTTCTTCTGGAAAAAAATATTGTTTTTATTTTTATTTATTTATTTGATTTGTCAATCGCTTACAAGATAATAGGTATAAGTATAAACGTGAGTAAGAATACAGGAAATAGGTATGGGGACAAAAGGACAGGGACGGTAGGCACGATGGTGCACTTATGCACGCCCCTTACAGACCTCTTAGGAATGGGATGAGGTCAATAGTGGTTAGTTGAGGTTAAAGGAGTGTGGGTTAGAGGATGTAACAACAGAGTCAGGTTGTGCATTCCAGGCATTGACCACTCTGTTGTTGAAGTTGTACTTTCTGCAATCGAGTTTGAAGTGATTTACGTTGAGTTTGTACCTGTTGTGTACTCTTGTATTGTTGTGGTTGAAGCTGAAGTAGTTATTGACTGGTAGGACATTGTAGCAGATAATTTTGTGTGCTACACTTAAGTATAACCATAGGTGGCGTAGTTCAAGGTTGTCCAAGCCCAAGATTGTTCAACCCAAAAATATAACTGTAACCCAAAAATATAACTGTAAAAGACAGACCAGAAATAAAAGTTAAAATAAGCAAAAAAAACAGTAAGATAACACCTGTCTGATCTTGATGAAAACAAATCACCGGGGCCTGATGGATTACATCCCAGAGTTTTAAAGGAGCTGGCAGAGGTTATCTCAGAATCACTGCACCATATCTTTCAAAAATCCTGGAGCACTGGGGAACTACCAGACTGGAAAAGAGCTGATGTGGTTCCCATCTTCAAAAAAAGAAAAAAAACAGACCCAGAAAACTATAGACCAATCAGCCTAATATCAATACCCGGGAAGATACTGGAAAAAATAATAAAAAAACAGATCTGCCAACATCTAGAAACAAGTAAAGTAATAACTAGCAGCCAGCACGAGTTTGTTAAAGACAGACCATGCCAAACCAATCTT